TGAGGCTGTTTATATACCCAAGAAGTGTATACACACATGGCAATCTAATGGGCGAACATATTTTTCTGAACTGCGATGACAAACTACTTTGCCCTGAAGTCCTTGGACTTACATCTGGGTGGCTTTCCAAGTTTAATCTGTAACTACAGTTGGGATTTATTCAACTGCCTATATGAAACAAAAAATGCCTAGTGAAGTATCAAACTTGGCAAAAATGCTGAACAAATATGCTTTCTGCAGCAGTTTGGTTTCCATGATGTTTCAAATTCAGGGATATAGTGCTGCTTTAAAAATGATTCATCCAATTCAGTGAAAAAGAGTGCTTAAAAACTATTAATAATAATTTACTAAAACAGTTTTTATCCCTAAACAGCACTCTTAAATGTAGAGACCAAATTGTAAAAAAACAGGTTTTAAACAGTGCAATACATTTAAATGCTTGCATGATTTTTAGTATTACTAGAATATTAAATACCACACATTTATTCAGGTTATGGAAGAAATAACATGAATGAATTCATAAAATGCTGTTGAGGGAGACCTTATATATGTTGTCAATTTCATCCTCATAATGTACCTTTGATGTGTATCCGGCATTCTTTCATTGCTACTATTGCCAACACCCCAGAAAAAAACTAATGAACAGTAGGGTTGATTTCTGAAGCTGTGGGACATATGAGGGTGTTTCAGAAAGTAATGGTGATTTTAAATTAAACCAATGTATATGCAACTAGTGGGAAACTATATGTAGCAGGAAACACTAACAGCAGTATTACTGAATGTACCCATATGTTATGACTATGTAGAGAAGCATTGTGGCCTAGTAAGTGATCACTGCATGCAAAATGGTTTTATTTTGAAACTGCCATCACATTCTGAAACCCCCTTATACATCTTTAGCTATTCTACCCTTCAGCTGCATTTGTCCCTTTTGTAAAGAATTGTAAAAAAGTAGTTTTTAAGGGCAAACATACAAGTGTGAAAGGAGATTTGGGAAGCTTGAAGGAAGAAGGGGTGGTATTCCTGTATGGCAGGGGATGTCAACCAGGGGTACTTGGGAAAGCCCTACAGGGTATGTGCGGGTGGACAGGGATAGAGAGCCACCACCCACAAGGCCACGCCACCACCTCCTGGGAGCAGGGCCTGGAGGGGGGCGGGGGCTGGTGAGAGCAGCGGCGGCCCTTTGTGGGCCACAGAGGCACCACCCAGTCAGCCAGACATGGGGGGGAGGGGAGGAGAGGAGAGGGGCAAGGGAAGCTTGCACCGTTGCTACCACCCACCACCCCACACTGCTGCCACTCCACATCTGGCCGTGCACCCCCCCCTCTACACCCCCCAACCCCTCTGCTCTGCGTCTGGCCGCTGTGGGTACATGTTAAAAAAGGTTGAAAAGCCCTGCTGTATTGAATTATCCATCTGGGCATTTTTGTGCATGAATGACACCAAGAACATTCCTCCTGCTCCTCCAGATTTAGTCAAGGGAAGCAATATAATGTTTTGACTGCATTTATTTTGATTTGAGATGTAATATGAGGGGAACCTTGTTTATCATGAAAATAATTTGAGTGTGGATGATGCTAAAAAACTTCTGTTGTTTCAAATTTCAGTTGTCCAAATATTACACAGAGAAGGTTTAATCGGGTTTGAGACAATAAATGCACTCAGCACTCCCACATTCCCTAGAAATAAGAATCAAGGCTTCCCTTTACACTAAATATGTTGAAAGCTCCCTTCCAGTATTGAGATCAGAATACTCCAGGGAACAAAATGCACCAAATTAATGCAACATGGAAGCCTAAATCCTCTTAACAGAAGTATGTATCAAATTGCCAAAGGCTATTGTTTGATTTACCATTAACAAAACTGTTATGGACAAGTTGTCAATTCTTGGTGCTAAAATACAGTCTGTATAGGAAAGAAAGATGCTAAAGGTCTCATATGTGTATTTTAAATGTATCTACACTTTTATTACAAAACCATATGGTTTGCATTAGTTGGGTACAATAGCACAATGTGGTCAGTGTTGCATAGCTGCTCTAATGTATGGCAACAATTGTATTCCTGCTTGCAGTAACTAATATTAAGTTAGTTACATTGACTGCACACAATTTTTTGTGCTCATTTCATTAGGAGGTGCAGGGCGCCAAATGAATTAGCTAGGGTGTGAAAAATTGGTTTAGTGCTTTAAAAGTAATATAGCATTAGGAATTAACTATTAAGAAATAAGTCTTTTATTTGGTATATTTCAAGTAAGTATTAAGACTTAAATACATTTCTTGGATCCACCCTTAGCTATTGTAAGTAGCAGCCATGACCAGAGAACATTGTGTTACACTGAACACTTGGTGCTCAGTTTCTATTATAAGTAATACCTGTGCAATGCATGGACAGTTACATCATACCCCAGCCAAGGGGAACAGTCCATCTAACTTGATCCTGGCTGGTGCTCCACTTCGTGCTTCTTTAATACAATCCAAGAGATTAACACCATTTTCCTCCACATGCAGTTACTGCTGTGCATCTACTGGCAAACTCTGTTCAGTGCATGTGCTGTGCTTGTTCTGAAGGGACCTTGCAATATATCGCCAATATTCCTTTCGTATTATGTCCTTTTCTTTAGCCAGAATTTCACATAACTAGGAAGAAAAATTACAAAGTTGGAATAAGCTTTTCCATGCTGTACAATAGTCCTTAAACACTGTAAGCGCTTGTAAGACTGATGGAGTCTAACAATCACTTAAGCAACCAACGTCTGGCATTAGTTTTGCTGTAGCTGGAAGTCGCAGAAAAGTGCCATTTCCTAAGTGGAAATCAATTACCTTTAGGGATGTCACAGAGAAACTGGTTGCCTGAGACTCTCCATGCCTAGTTTAACTGAACATGCTTCCTCTGTGACACTTCCCCCTGCTCATCGTTCCCTCTCAACCTTAAAAAACCTGCTTAGGAAATCCCAATGAGCACTAAGGGATAGATTCATAGATGTTAGGGTCGGAAGGGACCTCAATAGATCATCGAGTCCGACCCCCACATAGAAACGTGTCAAATCAGGCTTTGCTTATGGTCAATAATTTTGTACTAAGCCATTATTCATATCCAAAGCAGGTTTCAAGGCGTTATTAATTTCAACTGTACATGAAAAGACGTAACCATAGGGGAAGAGACACCTATCGGGGCATTTAGGTCATTGTATCTGCCAGGTTTGAATTCTTCTCTTAGCTGAGCACTTGATCTGCAAGGCACTTGATCTGTACCAGTAGTACAACATTCTAGTCTTCACTGCTCCAAATACAAATGAAAAGCAAAATAGCTTATTTACTTATAACCCTGATTCCCTGAGCAGAACACATAAGAGAATTCTCACTTTTAATCATATCAAGTATAAAACCATCAGCTCTCTCTTAAGGGTCCACATGGTGCCCTCACTATGGTATCCTACATTTTGGATATATAGGCAATCCTTGACTTACAACTTCGTGTTACGACTAACGGCACTGAAGACGTTTATAAATTGGCACCGTTTCCACCTTTCGATGTGGGTGTCGACTTCACAATGCTGGATACAGCCGTGTCCAGTTGGTAAGTCTGGTGTGGTGGAAGGGAAGGGGAAAGGGAAGGAGGGGGTGTGGGGGGGGCATATCAAGTCCCACTGCAGTGAGGGAGGGGCTAGGGCTAGGACAAGTTGCTCATCAGGGGGTGGGGGGGGATGTGCCCCCAGATCTGCATGGGGCAGAGCAGGAAGGACTAGGGCTGCACCAGGTTGTGTCGGGAACAGGGGCTATGCCCTCCTGCTGCTCGCCTAGCTGGGATGACACAGCTGCATTGCCTCCGAACAAGCGGCACACAGCAGTGCAAGCTGCCCCCCTCCCCCAGGCGAGTGGGGAGGTTCCGTCCTGTGTCCGCCCTGCCTTAGCTGGGGGGGTGGCGGCATGTGCCCCTGGATCAGGGTGGGCAGCGGAGCGGAGGAAGCACAGTGGCCCCATCCTGTGCCCGCCCCGGTTGAGCAAGCAGTGGGAGGGCATAGCCTCCGCTCCCAGCACAGCCCGAAGCAGCCCCGGCCCTGCCTGCCCCAGCCCATGAAGATCCAGGGTCACATGCGCCCCCCCCACCTGCAATGCCCCCCTGGACAAGCAACTTGTCCCAACCCCAGCCCCGCCCTCACTGCAGGGGACCTTGATCTGCCCCCCTCACACCCCTTCCCCTCCCACCACAACAAACTTACCAGTTGGATGCAGCTGTATTCAGTGTCGTAAAGGAACATTTATAGTATTGTTCCTATGGTAAAATTGGTTGCAAGTTGCAATGTTTTGACTTAAAACATGATTTTCTGAAACCAACTGCGTCGTAAGTCTGTAGACTGCCTGTATATTTTTTTCACCCTTATGAAAATGGAACAGAGCCATAGCCCTTACTGTATATTATGCCCCAGTCCCACAAGGTACGAATGCTGTCTATGAATGCTCTAGTTTGTTCCTTTCACAAAGGGGAAGACTTTGCCTTGTTCAATGAGCCAAAGTATCACACAAATCTTCAATCACCAAAGTAAGTCAAAAGGCAATGCTTAGCAGAACAGCACTGAACTAGGCAAGGTACAAAGTTGTGAGGTACAATAGCACCACCAAATCTTGATGACAGTGCACTGGCAAAGGATGGGTAGGAGCTGAGGAAGACCGGTGCTGCAGCAGCATCACAAGACAGAACCCCTGAGCCTTCCCTCTCCTCTCCTCTCCCTCCCCTCCCCTTCCGACTTATCAGCTGTTTTATTAAGAAAATATTTGCCCTCTTTTTTGTGCAGCAACAAGTAAACAAAAGCACCTGGCCCAGATAGATTGTCCCTAACAGAAAAATAAAGCCCTCGACTCACCTCTAGAGCTTTGTTTAGAATGTCTTCCTTGTTGCTACACTGGTTTTCTAGCATGTCTTCATATATGTCTACCAGAAAGGCAATTAGATAGGGAGAACTGTGGCTTGGCTGTAAATCCAGGAGTTGCTCTAATAGGTCTGGATATTTGGAAAGACCACGATCCTGTAGAATACTGAAGCAGAGATCAGTCAGCATTACCCTAACAAACCTGGTGCTAAAATGTCAGTTTTGGCTTTGATTCAGATGCATTTGAAGATTTATTATTCTAATGTAGAGACAGGCAAAAAAAAAAAGACATTTTTTTACAATACAGCTACAAGATAATGCAACTATAGTAGGTTAGAGACATGTCTCAGGTGTGCTAGAAGTCACGAAGAATCTTGACTAGTTAACCTTATTCCTTCTAAGTCTCTTCTCATCCTCTGCTTTGTGAGATTAGCAGATCTGGTATTCTGTGAAAGAAGCAACTTTTTCGTATTCCTGGTACTTAAAAACTACTGGGAACAGTCACCAGAGTTCACTAGCTGTGAATTTTGAAGATGTAACGTTGTCATAATCCTCCTGTCAATAATTATATAGGAAGAGACCCATAGTTTTGGTTATGATACTATCCATTTTATATAGGAGTTTCTGGCTGCTTGGTTGGCACGGTACATAACCCTGGGCTGATGAAGACTGCTGTTCTGCATCACTGGTTCTCAATTCTTTCCCCACAGCTACATAAATTTCTAGCTAGGGAAGATGTAAAGTGAAATATCTTGCAAGCAGGGGAGATAGAGATTTTGCACCAATAGAGATTTTGGGGACCAATACCGATAGGCAATATTTAAGGAAGCATATCGGCCACTACCAATCCGATATCCAATACAGCTGCCTCCAGGTGGTAAGTCGGGTGTGGTGGAAGGGGATGGGGGAGGGAAGGGGTGTGGGGGAGTGCAGATCAACACCCCCCATGGTGAGGGAGGGGGCAGTGGCAGGTGCTGCCCTGGGGGGGTAGGAGGGGGGTGTCAGTGTGGGACGGAGTCACGGCTCATGGGGTGGGGGCGGCTCCCACCACTGCCTGCACCCTCAGAGGGCAGGGGAGTGTGTGCCCAGTATCTGCGCAGCGCGGGACGGGCACCAGCTGTGGTGGGGAGCCGGAGCCGTGTGGCTCTTCTCACCAGGGGCTGGGCTTGGAGCAGACGCCGGCAGTGCTGGGAGGAGGTTGCAGCTACCCCAAATTTCGCAACAGCTCTGCTCCCAGCTCTGCGCTGTGGCCTGTCGCAGCCCCAGCTGAACGTCCTGCCTCCACCCAAGCGCCAGGAAAAGCCGCAGCTGCGACGGGCGATGGCGCAGGGCTGGGAGTGGAGCTGTGGCAAAATCAGGGTGGCTGCAACATCCTCCCAGAACTACCGGAGCCTGCTCCAAGCATAGCCCCCAGTGAGAAAAGCCGCACAGTACTGGCTCTGGCTCCACTCCGCGCAGATCCGGGGGGGCACCCCACCCCCACCCGATGAGCCGCGCTGCGCCTGTGTCCTGTGCCACCACTGGGCAGCATCTGCCCCTGCCCCCTCCCTCACTGTGGGGGGCAATGATTTGCCCCCCCCCATGCCCCTTCCCTCCCCTTCTGACTTATCAGCTGGAGGTAGCTCTCCACACTGTCGGCTCTGCTCCACACTGTGGCGGTGCGCAGCACAGACATTTATTGGCCCTGATGTAGACAATGTTCTTCATATCGGTACTGATCCAATATCAGACTGATGTATTGGTGCACCTCTACCTGCAAGCAGTGAACATTAACAACCTACAATAATGCCTCAAACGTAACTTCTCATTCCACAAACAATTCTCACCCTTTTAAATAGTTCCATGCACTTTCATTATGTGGTACTGCCTTGATCTTCTCTACAGTGTATCTGTGAAAAAAAAATATCTTATGAATGCAGAGACCAGCATTTCTATCAGATAGAAACATCAGAGAAATGTATTAATTTCATTACCCAAATTCATCACTCCCTGTAGTCTGTATTCAACACCTTTTTGGTGACCACTTTAGGCACTAATACAACCCATAGTATCCTAGAATTTAACTGCAGTTGTCATGATAAGGCATGTCACAGCTCGCCCAAAGACACTTCAACTGGCAATACTGATTTTTGCTATTTTGGGGGATGTTCACTGATGGAGAGGAAGCTTGTCTACACTAATATCTAATATACATGGGGTTTTCAACCTTTTTAAATAAATATACCCCCAGCGGCTGAACGCGGAATGGTGGCAGTGCAGGGTGGTGGCAACGTGCAAGCTTCCCTCACATACAGCCAGTGCCTGTGTGGCCCACAGAGGAGCACTGCTGCCCTCGCTCCCCCTCCCTGCCTCAGCTCTGATCCTGGGAGGCTGTGGCGTGCGGTGGTGGCACTCTGTCCCTGCCTACCTGTGCGTACCCGCTAGGACTTTCCCGCCCATCCCCAGTTGACAACCCCTGTAATATACTGTTTGATAGCATGTTGAGGAGGAGTGCATTTCTCACATACTCTGTAAAGCTGGCCTCTTATGAGAGAAGGCAGGAAAGGGTTACAGCATTAGGCACGTGTGGGCATTCAGCTTGCTACTGAACCAGAGCTGAGCACACAAGCTGGATTCAATCCCTTCACATGCCTCAACAGACTTGTTTGCAGAATGCCAGTTCCAATGCTAATCAGTGACAGCTGTGCAAACTCACTAGAAGGCATATGGCATAGGTGTCACCAGGGCAATGGTTGGTCTTGCTAAGCTCAGACTGGCGACAGTTAATGCGAAAGAGCAAACGGAGCTTATCCAAGAACATGGCGAGGAAGCTTCTCACCAAACAGAGAAGCAAAGAAAACAACTAGCCACATTTCCAACTGTACAAAAGAAGCCTTCACCTTCTACTCCCAGCAGCCCAACTCACTTCTAGACGTGACCAATACTGATTTGCAGTTCTGAGTCTAAAAACACCTGAACCACCTTGTCTTTCTGCAAACACTACTAGAGGGACTGAACATATGCCTGCCAGCGAGAGCTTGGCAACAACAGGCAGGCTAAGGTTCTATGTACAGAGTCCATATCTGAAGTTGGTAGCAGGTTAAGGCTTTCACAATGTGAGTTCTGAACACCCGGTCACCTGTGTTTCACAAACAGATCCACAGGGGAATCTTGCCCTAGCTTTGAAGAAGGAAATCTGGCAATACCTAGTGTAACATGGAAATGGTTGCGGTATAGTAACACTCCTTAAGACCAAGAGGAAGAAAATCACAAAATAATGGGGGGTGGGGAAGAGAGCTTCTCTTATTTCTATTTACATTGTCTCAGCCTGTTAATGATTGCGTAGTTGTTTCTCATGGACACACAAAGGCTCAGGCTCCATTCCAAAGAATAGCTCTAGAAATGGCACTGCAGTTTCACATCTCCATGTCCTTACCGAAACGAGCTCAATTTGGATACAAATCTTTTTGTAATTGCCAGCCTTGACCATTTCCCAGGGATCTGGAATTCAGACTGGGAAGTTTCCTTCTTATTACGGGTGTGCAAAATAGGCTATGTTCGATTCAGATTTGGATTCGGCCTGAATTGGGGACAGTGATTCAATTACTTGATTTGGATCACTGTCCCGATTCGATTTGACCGAATCTGAAGATCCGATGCTGATTCGGAGATCTGGCCATAGACACAGCTTTAAATGTTTTTTCTACATACCTTGAGGTATCAGGTGCAGCTCGTAAATGCTGAGCTGGCGGGGCAGATGGAGGGTTCTGATTTGATTTGGAGAGATTAAAGGGTCTCCTGATTCAATTAGGATTCGGAGATTCGGCCACCAAATCAGGCCAAATCTCCACCAAATCAAATCAGGGACCAAAGCTTTGCACAGCCCTTCTTATGTTTTCATTAATAGATACTAGATGACCTCCTGAGGTCCCTTCCAACCCTAACTTTCTATGATTCAAAGATTTATGTCTCTCCAATTGTGTGCGCGCCACTTCAGGCCAGTTCTAGAGCTAAAGGAGACTTGCACATCAGTTCACTCTTTATACCTAGAAATCATCTCAAGCATCTGTGCTGATCATAACTAGGGCAGTACAGGATGGGGAAAAGAGGTGAACTCAAGGAGATGGGTCTCAAGGCCATTTATGGTATTAGCACCAATGTATAAAGCCCCAATTTCTACCCCGAAACAAAAGAGAATGCAGTCTGGAATACTGGTGTAATATGCTCTTAGTAGGATACTCTGCTGAAACAAGTATACTGCTGAGTATTACACTCATTTCTGTTTTCAGGTAGATTTAAGCTATACCCGCATGGCAAGTGTATTGTAGGTAAAGAACTTGGGGGCAGGAAAACCATGGGTAGCAGAAGCAAGATGGAAGTTGCTTCCTGATGTTCATTTCTTGGCCACTTAGAAAAGCCATTCTGGCTGGCCCTGGCCCTCAATCTTCCCATAACAGCAAGAAATCTAATTAGTCCCCTTAAATGAAAGTTAAAGTAAAAAGAGTCTAGTAAAAGACATATCACGCTGCCATTTTCTGCAACTCATACTTTTTCACTAGCCTTGTAAGTACATTAAAAAGGAGAGAAAAGGAACCCTGCACAAGCGCTCTGAGAGGAGAAATACAATTAGGCTACAATCACTTTTTCAGAATACTCAGCAAGGAAAAAAGCCAAACAGCTTCCTCAGTGCACATGTTGTCCACAGACAAGTTAATAGTATCAAAGGCATCTGGAGGATCTAACATGAGCATGGATACTTGACCCATCAAGTGTTTTCCTCCAGACTGAGGAAGATCAAGAAGATGAGACACCCATATGCATTTCAGAGTATTTTCCTCCTTTACTTGCAAAAGCTGAAAATTACTAAATAAAATTGTGAGCAGTGTTACTAACTGGACTTCTCTGTTTAGAATAGCAGGATCATCATAGCCAGTGGTGTTGGAAATAACAAAGTGTCTTTGGTTCCAAACAGAGTTGTTTCTCACATCCTCTTTCAGAAGCTGATCTACATATTCCAGTTCATTGTCCCACAACTTGAACTCCTAAAATAAGATAAGAAAAAAGGGGGAAGAGTCACATTTGAATGCATTACGTCTTAACCCTCTTTTCCCACCCCCAAAAAAACCTAAATAGAACTTTGTTTCATTTAAATAACTCCAGTCTAAGTCTTCCAACCTCTAGACCCCCAGACTGCACTCTATTGAAGAACTCAACCTAATAGGTAAGTTTGGGCCAAAGTCACAGGGAGTATTTACAAGTGTCAGGAAACCCAGTTCTAAGGAATGTTACCAGCACACTCTCAAGTTACATGAACAAGGGCAAACAGCCAACAACAAATTTCTGCACCAGTTTGCTAAAAAACAACAACAACCATGTAGCTGAACTATGAGTTCACTCAAACTCAACTGTTTTTCTTCCATGAATGCTGAAGGATTAAACTAATGCAGAAGGCTAATATTCAATTTAAGAAGCAGAACTCCAAAACTCTGGAAGGGCAGGGCTTGTACAGAGAATGTGTGGCAGGCCTAGATATAATACCTGAATAACCCACTGTCTGTGCTGCCAGGCGTGGTAATTCTTGGCATCCTGGTTAAGAATGTCAGCTATAAATTCAAGCTCTTGAGATGGATCCTGCAGCCACTCTACCAACACTCGTCGATGGTGCCTAAAGACAAGAGGGTGCTAGAGTTTAAACTCTATCCTATCCAACTTCACAACAACGTTAAATGTTTATAAAAACACCACCTAATATACAATGACAACATTTCCAGAAAAACTTCACTGGAAAAAGACTTGAAAAAAATAAAATGAACTTCAGCCAATTCTTCCAGGAACAACTTCTTAGTAACTTACTCCTGACTGACTACAGTAAATTCCAGCAAGGTATTGACATAGTGATATACGATCCCCCTTTGGAGAAATGCTAAGCTTACTTGACATGCTTAAGAGATGGGTAAGAAAAACCATACAAAATGAGGTTTTAAATAATTTAAAAACAGAACCAAGTTTGAATACATGCATAGATCTGGCTAGAGGTAAGTTTGCATGCCACTGGCATGCTACCAAAATGTGCCTTTACTGTCTCAGTCTAATGAAAACCGTACAATGGTTTTCAGAGAGCACTGGGCAGAATTCGCTACCCCTGTGAGGTGTTTTGTTTTTGCTTTTTATTTTTTAAACAAATACCACATTCACCCAAATCCAAGACTTCTGAATTTAAGATGACCCTCCAAAATTATAATTGTTATACATTTCCATATATGCTAATTATTGGACGGTCATCTTAAATTCATTCCCCTTACCACAAAGCAGGGAGAGCAGTAGCAGGGGGAGTCTTAGCAGCCGGACCCCTGTCTCCCCACACCTTGCCCCCTGCCACCTGCTTTTCCCAGCCCCCACTGATTGCCCCTCCACCTCCTGGCACCTGGCTTCCCTACCCCACCAGTGCCTGCCCTGTTACTTGACTCCCTTCAGCACCTGCCCTCCCCCCTGGTGCCTGCTCCTCCCTCAACTCTAGCAGGGCTTTGGCTTTGCTCGAGCCCAGGGCACAGACCATGCACTTGCTCTGGCCCCAGCCAGGCCTGGTAGCAGCAGCAGTGATGGCAGCTATAAGACAGCTGGGGCCGTGTTTGCTCTGTGCCCTGGGCTGGAGTGGGGTTGGCCTCAGCTGTGACGGAGACACAGCTGGACGAGGCAGACACAGAAGGGAGAGCCAGAGCTGGAGCCAAGTTTATTATTTTTCGTTATGTAGTTTCAGGAAAAACATTGTCCCAAACTGGAAACTACGATAAAATGTATCATAGCTTTGGTTCTCATTATCAGGGTACCTATGGGTTCAAGTCTTAGTACCTAAGAAATTCAACATATAGCAATAAACTTGTAAGTTCTAAGTTTCAAGCTATTTCTATTAAATAAGCAAACCATCTGAAGATATGCACACAGCAGCTGGAACCGGTTGGGCTACAACTTCATTGATCTGTATTTTTGGCATATGCTTCATTATTAACCACTACTTCAGATATGTTCCTACTTTGCGATTCACAACTGTAATCCTTGCCAAGAGTAAAAGAGACATTACTCCATTGTCTCTTCTCTAAAAAGAGCGCAATTCTTCTCTATCCACGTTAATTTCGGGAGATTTCCACATCAGGAAAGCAAAATCCAAAACACTAACAAACTGAAATTCATCCCCTGTGTTTGCTGGGTCAGAGTTAGATGGCAAAGTTGAACCCTCACACACCCATTTTTAGGACCACTTTTTTTTTTTTTCCTTCTAGAAAAATAAAATATATTTTTTTCAAGATAAAAAGTATATTTAAAAAAAATATTTTACCAGACTTGATAGTTCTTTGGTTGGTCTTCAATGATAGCTGTAATATATTTAAGTTCCTCCTGTAAATCCTTTTTCAAAGACTGCAAAAGGACTCTCCGGAAATGCCTAGAGAATATACAGGCAAGGTTTTTTGAGTAGATGCGATATCTTTCATTAGACCAGCTGAGTAGTTGGAAAAAAGTTCTTAGTAAGCTTTCAGGCACAGTCACCCTTCTTCAGGCATAGGAAGTCTCTGCAGTTCTGAGATTATACAAAAACATTCAGCAAAATGATTTTTTTTACAAACGCTCTTAAAAAACAGCTAAGCAACCCATCCACAATAAAGTGAGATGAAGTTAAAATAATTTTAAGTAGTAACCTAAGTTTTAAATACAAAACTATTTATCCTAAACAATGTTCCTTTGCTGGTCAGCTGGTAATGACCAAAACAGATGTAGTTACAAAACAGTGTTACCTAAGAGCTCAGTAATCTTAAATTTCAAATGAAATCCTGTCTACCCAATGTAGCAGGGAAACTGAGTTATGCTAAGGCTTTTTAGCCATAGTCCAGGCACAGAGCTAAGCAACAAAATTGAACAGAGCACTTTCTGTGGCCCTGGGAGATGCGAGTGCTATGACTGGTGAGCAAGGCACAACAGTTTCCTATAAAGAATGTGCCTGGCACAGTGCCAGGGGATTGGACAATTTGGGATAAAAAAATTACAAAAAGTCATAGATAAAAAAGGAACATGTGTGTAGCATGCTGTGACCCTGGGAGGACAGACACAGCTGCTGGGCTCTTGCTCAAAGAGCAGCAAGCCAGCAACTAAGATCCCACACACCCAGCGGAGGACCCATGGCCTGGTACTCCCAACGGTCACTGTTGTAATGTCTAAGGAGCCACTTGCTAGGCCATATTACGGGGAGGAAACCTGTAATATTGCCTAGAGGTTACTATTAAAGTTCACTTGATACCACATCAGACTAGTTGCCGTGTCAATCCTTGGGGGGCTCTGGCAAAAAGAAATCCTAGTGGTAACACCCCGTACCTGCATAACGAAACAGTCTTGGCCTAATCAAAAAATAACTTAAGTAAATTAACAATCAAACTAGTAGGAAAAAAAATATACAAAAAATGGTAACTAATAAATCATGTAAAATACAATTCATGATTTTAAAAGGATATTTTTTTCAATTTAGCATTTAGCTGAGCGTTAAGTTGGAAGATATTGTAAAGGGCATTATGGAACTGAAACAAAATTATTTACTATAAATACTAGCTATTATAAAACCTCTTGAAATGACGAAGAGGTTTTCCTCTTTTGTATGCAATTATATCAGCAGAGGAACTTTCAATACCTTTTGTCATGTTACCTTAAATCAGTAGAGGGGGGTGGAAGTTGGGTGGTTAGTTCTGATTGTGTAACAGCTGACTATCAGATAAAATTCTCAAAAATTAATGATAACATATCAAAGTGTTCCGCAGAAAATACTAACTCTCAACTCCATGTGAACTTACTGAAGTTTTACAATCCTCTGTAGACTTCTAACACAAAGCATGACTATTTCTATTTTACTTCATCAGATGCTGTAAGCCTACTGCTTATGAAAGCTTATGCTACTTATCTCCGATTTAGTTACTCTATAAAAGTGGTTCTCAACCTTTTTTTGGACTCAACCCACCTTTCATTGAGCTCAAGGCACTCCACCACAACTTTTGTTAATTGTGTGACACCCAATTTCAAAAACTAATTCATCTATTACAGTGGTTACCTCCTTGTAGAACAGCTGGACAGTAGGGGTGAGGAGTCATCCAGGCAGGGGCAAGCCTGAGCCTGTGCTTATATGTTTTATTTATCTACTTACCTCCCCATGCCTCGCAATACCCTTCAAAGGATCTGGCAACACCCTTGTTGAGAATCACTGGTCTGCAAGGTGCAAACCTACCTTATCTTCTGCCTTACTTATATTTTGTCAGAAATAGTTCAATACAAAATGAGGTAACCTAATCAACCACTTTACATAGAAATTAACCCCAATATTATAACTTACCATACTGTGTAATTTGCAGCATTTAATTCAATTGCATCTGCAGTTAAATTGAAAGCTCTTTCACTCCTTTCATCCCGCTGCAGAACAGCCCGAAAGTAATCGTAGACATCTCTGACTGAACAGATAACACGTTAGCCAAAGTCACTAAGAAATCCTGAATTAGTGGATTTTAACAGCAAGCAACACCCCAAAATAACTTTGTGCATCTCAAATACCATTCCCCAGTACTTGAAGATGTCTGGTCATAGCTTGGTCAATGGATAATGTCCAAAGTTGTCTTCCATCCATTAATGCTATTTCTCTACATTCCACAACCTACGCTATGGAATCTCCATCATTACAAGCTTTTAAGTGTAGAACAGACAAAAGACAACAATTTGGCTGGGGTGTTTTAGATGGGGATTTTCATGCTTTGAGTAGAGGATCAGACTTGATTACCTTCCTGCAGTCCTTTGGTCAGACTTCCTGGAATGTAACTGCTCTAAGCAAGCAAACTTTCATGCCTGGTACATTCTTTATGTAAACTGTCAATTCTACTCTTTTATCTTTCAAAAACTAGTCTTTAAAACAGGGGTGTCAAACATCTGGCCCACAGAACTCAGCCATCAAGACCCTGGGTGCTGCCTCTGGGTCTGATTAGACCCACACGGGATGCGATGCAAGCCCATGGCACGGGTCCCACCCGCAGACTGGATCAGCCCACAGATCCACTTTGTCCTCTTCCAACATTCCTGATCTGGCGGTCACTGCAGCTGGTTTGGGACCCATGATGCATGTGGCATGGACCCCAGAGCAGTCCAATGGGCACTGCATACAGCACAGTCCAGTTTGAGTGGAAGCCCCGGTGCATGTGGTGGCTGCCCTGGCTGGACTGTGCCACATGCAGTGTCTGCTCTGGGATGCATGCTGGACACAGTGCCGCTTCAGCTGGTCCAGGACCCGTGCTGCATGTGGCACTCAGAGGCACTGCATTCAGCACAGGTCCTGGACTGGCAGGAGCAGGTGACACATGTGGCACAATCTCTGAGCTGCTAGATGTCGAATGCGGTGCTGTCCAGCTGGGGCAGCCACCACATGCAGTGGTCCTAGACCAGACTGACTAGACCAGCCACTAGATAGGCATGTTGGGGGAGGAGAGAGGTAGAGGTGAAGGGGTGGAGGTCCACCGGCCCAATTCAGCCCACAGATGGGCCCCATCACTCAGCCAGCCTGCAGGGCTAGATGAAACTGACACCCTAGCGTTAAAGAATCTCCTTTAATAACGGGCCCCATATTTAATATTAAAACCTCAACATTAGCAGATGTTCACTTCAAGATGTTGTACAAGTAGGTAAAATGCAGCTCTCGGTGTACAGACTTTCTAGCAGTGACACTTTGCTAAAAAAATGTACGTTAGTAGAAACCGAAGTCTAACTTCCATTAAAACACTGACAAATGAAACTTCAATGATCAATCTGTAAAGATTTCCTTCCTCAAAATATTTAGAGCAGAAGATATTTACATTTCTCACTGTAGATAATCTGTACCACTGGATTTGGCCCATCATTTTGGGGTACTGGTTCAATGTCGGCCCATTCTTCCCTGTCCCTGCAAAAACAGAGAATATTTCTTCTCACCTTTTCTTATCATCATAAAGAGCAAACACAGCCCACCCCACCCCAGGAAACACACCCCCCTCCCCAGTACCTGGCTCTTTACCTTAACACAGCTAAACCTGCTGGGTGCCGGAGCGCCCAAGCCAAGTGCAATTTGACAGGACCCCCTGCAGAGCACACCAGCGCCTGCTAACTGCGGTCAAGAACCTCAGCCAGTCCCGATTCCCGGGGGGTGGGGGGGGGGGGGGGGGGCGGGGGGTTGCCCAGCAGCTGCCCTGCTTGTGGGAAGTTCCTGGCCAGCCCCCTGCTGAGTCGGGGGAGGGAGGGACCACTTGCAGAAAGCTTGCCAGCAGCTGCCCCACACCCC